CATAAACACAACGCACATGCTCGGATAAAAAAAAAATCCCCACTGCAAACATCTGCGCTTATTCATTAAGAGTCTGCCTCCCCCAATATCCACCAACCACGCAACACTCACGGCAATCCGTTTTGAAAGAGATACAGTGCAGAATTTTCCTTTTTGTGGTCGCAATTTTTAATGGGTCCTTGTCACCTACCAGCTAACCCTGTGCGATGTTTTGTGTCACAATGCCCGTTGCTTTACAGCTGCAAGTTGCGCATGGTTTCTGCAGCGATGATGACAGACATCTCCCCCCGCTCAAACGTGGATTGTGCGGCGCTCATTTCTGTCTGCACTCAAATTGATGTCTCCAATATTGCCCACAAATTCGTTCCCACAAAGTAGTATTTAATCTATGGACCCACTAGGAATGATGGGCTAAGTCAACCACTGACAAGAATACAAAAAAACTCGCAACCTTCTGGGTGTGAGTCCGTGATCTCAGTAGCCAACAAGGGCATCCAGAAGCCTGAAGACGCCTCGTGATAATTACAGATTATAATCTGTAAATCAAACTTGATATTATACAGCACCATTCACACAAAGCCTCTCATCGCTTCACATACATTCGTAACAAATTAAGCAGAATAAAACAAAACAACTCAAAGTAAAAGTCACGTAAACTTTAACAGATGGGTGGTATGCAAGTTAAAACAAATGTGTTTTAAGATTGGACCTAAAGGACTCAACCGATTGAGAGTTCATGTCCTGGGGAAGAATGGAATGATGTTTCACAGACGAGGCTCCTGGCTGCTGAAATCTCTCTCGCCCATTCATCTCCAAAGCCCTCTTTCTAAATGGACTCCAGTCTCATTCGTGAGCATGTGGCCATAAAACGCATTTCACCAGAACGCCGCAGTTTGCTGCTTTCTTTTTGTATATTTGGAATGGTCAACGGCGGTACAAGTGGGAGGTGTTTAAAAGTTTTAGACCCCCATCGTTTGGCATTTCTCAGCTCTAAAGACGCAGCTGCAAGCACAATTATTGAATGCGCACGCTTGCAATTCATATTAATGAGCTTTGTTCAAGCTTGGAGCAGTAGAAAACAGTTTGTTAGCCGCTGCGGTGGGCTCCTTGAAGGGGAAAGAGCCCCACTCTAAAATGGAGCCACGAGGCCACAGCGCTGCAAATGGAGGTTTTCTTCATTTCTTCCTGAAACTTAAACTCACTCTGCGAGTGATGCTTTGCGATAATGGATGTTGCACGAACCTGGTATGAATTTCTAATAAGCTTATACAGCACCGCAACACACTTCTAAATGATTTCCCGAGCTCCGTCGTGACAGTGTGCTTTGGCATTACATCGGTTGCATTGAATCATGCTCGAATAATGTGAAAAACGGCGGGTTTTTTTCTCACAAAAATGTAGTGGTTAATATTCAATGTGTTAACATTGGACATGTACGTGGGCTACACGTTTTGGGATATATCTCAAACTTATCACCCTTATGGGAAACTGTATGGCCATATACTGTAAGGGCTGTCACACATGCACTGGCAACTGTGGCAAGTCAAAAGCACAGCTGGCCTGTACACATTATACCACTGCACACAGCAAGCTGCATTACAACAACAACCGCTGGCGCCCACGAAGCGGTTGTTGTTGGCGGTGACGTCACCAAGGCGCTTGTGCCAGGCTAGGTGTACTTTTAAATCATCACGTGGAGTGTGAAAGGCTCTCTGCTGGCAGGAAGTCACGGGACAGACCTCGGTGCTTGTGGATCGACTGAGATGACTGGCAGATGCACCACCTGTGCTCCCCACTATGCCAGCTTGCCGCGTTTTATCTGCCCGGCGCTCCGCTCGTTGTTGTGAGCGTCGCTCCTCTGTCCTCCGTTGTTGTTGGAGGGCGACTGCCACCCACTGCCCAGTAGCAGCGTGCTTCACGAGCCTCCTCCAAAGAGACGGTCATCTGCAAGTCCACTCAGCTACACATTCTTCTTACCGCATCGGTGCATCTCTTCTCGAACTCGTGCCATGCCCGATTTGCCCCATCTATCCAGCCAAACAGAAGTTGCTTGGGCATGCGGGCTAAATGACCCAGCCAAAGTTGCCTCGCCTGCCAGAGGAGCTCACTGATGGGACAGTTTCCAGATCTTTCAAGGATCTATGAACTCCTCAGCCAATCTGGTTAAACACATGATGGATCGTAAGCAGGCAACCCTGAATTTTTCAAACTGGCACAAATGTTATTCATAATAAAGGTTTTTGGGTTAGATCTATCTCGCCTACGTGCTAAATTGGCACAAATATTCATTTAAAGGGCTCCACATATACAGTATCGGAAGCATTGAGAAGGGAGCGCATAACTGGCAGAGAAGACCTGGAGCTTTGTATGGAGCAATAGACCATGTAGCTTTCACAAAGCATGATGCAGCTGGTGAAAAGATAATGCTGCTTCACTCATTCGGAGTGAGTTCTCCACTAGCAAAGTGAAGCTGGTGATAATCATACAAGCCAGGTATGGAAACTTGTTTACTCTCTCCACAACTGCCCCATCACTCATGGAGAGTTGAGGGGATGGAGTGTTTGATGAAATAACACACACAGGAAGGTGTTTAGTTTTGGTGGGACTAATGGTAACTCTTTGTAGCATGCTCTAGGTTCAGTAACAGCATCTCCAACTCCTCAGAGTGAGCAGCAATTACCAGGTCATCAGCATACTTAACAAGGTTGATCAATAGATAGCCATTCCTTGACTACACCCAGGCATTGATCCGACTCCCATTGTATCTGTACCAGAAATTAATTCCTCCTGTACAGCCATGGCGACTCAAACTCGGTGGTTCAAAGATGTTAAATAGTTGTAGGGGCCAGAGGACATCCTTGTCGCACCCCAAGGTGAACTCGAAATGGCTCCAACTCCCAACAATGCAGCTTAACCCGGGCATGCCCATCATCGTGAACTCGGAACCTTCTCACAGCAAATCAACCTCTCTAACCACAACATAGATAACCTGACAATGAGGCTCCTTTATATATCTGTCTCTCCAAGCAAAAAAAAAGATTTTGTTTACACAATCATCATAGCCTTATGGGAGTGTATAATTTAAGAAGCGTCGATTCTCAAAAAACAATCTTTGGACTGGTTTTGACAGTGTCTCAACAAAATAAATTATAGAAGTCAGCGTGTCTTGCTCAAATTACCAAGGTGCAGTGCTCATCTCCATTGGTAGTGTTGGGACTTCCGTGGGGGGCACAATTTCAGCGGCATTGATTCTACCCAAGCAAACTAAGGACACGTTTTGGACTATTTTCTTCTACATTCAGTGTCTCACCAATGTACCTGTATGTCGAACACGGTCCAGAGTTAGCTTGTTTAGAACCATCGATGTGAAATGATTCACTTCCCGGAAGGCCGTGGGGCTGATGGTTGTGTAACAAAAAATACTTTTACATTTTACGTGGAGAGACATATATTTGAGGGAGACGTATTTTCTGCTCATCGACTTTGTTACTTATATTCTCCGCAACGACGCGAATGCTCATTTTGTGTTATCTCTAACCACAGCGCTGCCTGGCCGAATGCTCTATCTGTATAACACTGCTGGATATACTTTATACTCTGTGTCTCGTGTGCTGCGCATGTGAGGGCTGCACTCTTGCTCAGTTGGTCAGTTGGCAGGGATCACAGCGACGGGAGTGCAAGTTCAAATCCCTGCCAATGTCCCTCCCTGGGTTCGCAAAAATGAGCACCACCTGGCGAGGCCACACCACGCAGTGGGAAGCCAACAGCGTTTATCCTAAGGACTTCTCCTGGCCATAGGAATGTAGAATGGTCACCAAATGACTGAAGCTTACGCGCATTTGAGCAAGGCACACTCATGTTTCTAATTGCTTTGATATAGAAAATAAGGAGCTTGAATTAAGCTTTAATATAGCAATTAAGGAGGTAGAATTAAGCATGAGTCAAAATACCCTGGCAGCTATTTCAAATGGCTGTGGTCAACAACGTTCGATAATAAATGCTGATACAGTTAGCCGAGTCATATGTAATTAATTTAGGTGAGCGGCGTGGCTTACTGGGTTTTTCGCGTGAAAGTCTTGGTAGAAAAAATTAATTCCGACATTTCTCATACAACCGATGGATACCACAATACTCCAATATAAATCACAGACCGCCTAACCACACTGCAACACGTAATAAAGTAATACACACGTGGTAAATGTATTAATGTATAGTACATACTTAACACAGGAAAATCCAAGTCTCCCGATGCCCAAACAATCAATAGGGTGTCAATCATTCCCATTGGCAGTCATGAGCCAGAGATGGAAATTCCACATTACTAAGATGAATTCGTATCATTATAGCTGTTTCGTGTGTTTTCAGTTTTCAAGTTGTATCGATACAACCTGAAAACACATCGGAGGCCTATACAGCATGACTGCAGACACCTACTAACGCCCAGTGATCATGGATAGATACAACTCCTTATTTAAACCAGGCATTTTCAACATTCTGTATAAATGTTGTATCATGTATCCCTTTTCATCCGATGGAGAGATCGGATCCTGCTATGGAAATGTGGACTTTTTTTTACCAATAGATAACGGGTTGCCAACTTCAGTCGCTGATATTCTGTTATATTACGTAACAATGCTGTATACATATACGGCAATCGTTTATGCATTTCAAAGGGTACAGCATATGGATTAAATATATACAATACTATGTATTGTGCACGTGGAACGTTGTGTAGATTCTGATATATATAATTATATCAACGGCAAACAGAGACTGGTTTAAACAACAACATTACTCAGGCTTAACTTTCATAAACACTGCAGTGCAACTCACTAGAGCAGATGCGTGTTTTACATTACGCCACACATTTCATGCTTTCATTCCGACCGTAACCTCAACAATACCAGTAAAAGGCCACTGTGTTACAGACACACACACAGACAGACCCCGTGTCCCTTGCCCCGTGGCATCACAGTCCCAGCGGTCTGCACGGCACCCACCTGAACCGTGACAGCTGTCACGGCCAACGTCACCCTCACCTGGAGGGCTCGCGCGCCCGGGTTCCTGCCGGCCGTCTTGGTTCAGGTGGTCTGACGCATTGCGTAGGGGGGCTTGCAGCTGTGGCTCAGCTGTGTAGACGAATGGACTACTTCTGCCTTAGCTCATCATTGCGTGTGTGTATGCAAGTGTGTGTGTCTATGCAAGTGCGTGCGTGTGTGAGAGACGTGTCAAAATGCTGTTGTACTACACTGGACTGCGATCACTGCGTGCGATGACTATAGCGCGACATGCTGCTGCTGCTGCTGCGTTTGCTTCATGCTACTGCTTCGGCCACTTGCTGCTGCTGAAGCTGATGACGATGTTGAAGATGTTGCTACACTTGGCAGGCCGTTGCTCTCTTGGCCACGCAGGGCTGCCAACCATTCTTGGGCATGGAGCCTAAAAACGCTACATAGCTGAGACATAAGCGAAGCAAAAAAAAAGAATGAAATAAAGGCGTAAAATCAAACATGTGCGGGATTTACTGAGCACGTGTGGGAAAACGTGGAGCGGGCACTGGTGGGGCGTCCCGTAACCCTCTTCGGTGTGACGAGGAGAGCTCGTGGGATGAAACTTCAGTGGTGAATTCCAAACATTCGGCTTTGCCCCAATCACACCTGTTCAACCAGTGCACGTGTCATTCCTTCTTGGCCACTTACGTTTGCAGGTTTTTGGACGCGCAGTAATCTTTATTTTTAAGCTTTATTTTTAAAAAAAGGACTTGGTGTTTAATTCACCATGGAAAGGTTGTAAAAATAAATCCTGGTGAGGGGTACTCATTCCATCCACCGTCCTTCTGGAGTCAGCAATACGAATACTACTTCGTGGGATGTCCACAGTGCACCATACCATGCAGAGAATGTCCTGCAATACATGAGAATGTGGAATTTCCAACATTAACTTAGGGCTATTAAATGATGTCACCCTACAATCTCTTCACATATCAAACCAAATTATAATGCAATAATAAAAATTATCACTTTCTTCACCAGCGTTATACAGTACCAGAATAATACCGTCTTGGGAAATAGCCCTTCCCCTGAGCAGAACAAGAGGACACATTGATTGGATTGCATTCGGAGAGAGCATTTGACACCAAGGTGCCCTGGGAAATTTAAGACAATTTCTTTAAGTTGACAATTGACACATTTGAATCGACGTATTAATATGTTTCCATCAGTAGATAATTCCTATCCAGCCCATAGAAAGTCCAACAAACATAAACTTAAAAAAGCAAAGTTATTAAATCTCACTGTTAAACGACATCTTGCAAAAGCAAAGATACCAGACTTTGCCACGATGCATTTGATCAATTTTACTTTCAAATAAAAATCGACCAAAACAAAACACAAAACTGAGCAATACGGTGAGCGAGCGAAGAGCATATCTACAGAACTACAGTACTGCATATTTACAGCATGGCCTCGACACTATATTAACGGTATTGTTCTTGCTATACTCTGCACTAATGTGAGTGTACGCCAGCCACGGCCATTCATCACACTTAACAACAACAAAAACGCATACCAAAGGGCCCGTTATTAATTTTTTGCCCTCTGTGCTCGTGTCGTGGGCACGCTCTTATCTCAACACCGTGGAGTCACATCCCTGACAATCCCCCCGCCTGTGAATATTCAGTGGCGTACTCGGGCACCCGCTTTGTTGTAAACCCAGGCTTCCTGAATACAGTCCAGTGTTGGTGTTGTTGTCTACGGGGGGCCTTGCCGCTCCTGCATTTAGGACCTTTGTTTGAGTAAGTTCCAGACACCCCTGCCCCAGGCGTACAACACTCGCCCGAGGGCGCCAGCGAGTCTGACCTCTCGACCAATCTTAGGCACCCAAAAGTTATACACAACTACTGTATACAAACATTGGCAACACTTTGTAGCTAGTCCTGAGATGACCTCGATACACAACCAGCCCGTAATGCAATGTTACACAAGCACAGCGATCATCTGCCATCAAAACACAGCTCATCATCATCATCACCACCACGGTGCATCACCTGATCGGAAAATGAATTAGACGAACTCACTCTGGATGAATAAATAAGGTGTGTTTCCAATTTAGCGCAATGTTGCAAAGTATACACGCCAACTGAACGAGCTAAGTTCAGTGTCTTCACGAGACAGAGAAGAATACGCCGTTACATGTTCGTTTGACCTTCAAGGTTTGCTAAGACAAAATAGTTTAGTTCATATGCCAATTCATAATAAAGGTTTTTGGGTTAGATCTCGTAATTTATAAATGTGTCGTAACCCTTCACCACCCGATACGGCCAACCAGCTCATTCAGCGGTGTCACAAGAGCTATGTCTGGAGAAAGTAACACAAATATCAGTCGTGGTTACATTACATTTCTCCCAAGCTCTGTGGTCCTCTATATATTAAGGTGCTCTCGGCCAATTAATAAGTGTTTGCATATGGGAGGAAACTGGAGCACCCAGATAAACCCATGCATGTGCATAATATTGGGAACAAACTAGATAAGCAGACGAAAGCTATCCATACATGTCTCTGCATATATATATAAAACAAAATAAAGTTTATTTTACACAAGCTATTGGCCCACGGCTTTATGGGTGTCAGTGGGGCTGATGTATTGTGTAAAAGATTATTTTTTGTATGTACAGAGACAGATACAGTATGTGAAGTAGACATTGTCTGCTAATCCATCGAGATAAGTAGGCTATATGCAGGGGCGAGATGGATTGTGCATCACGAAACTATGGGAAGACGATGGCGTGCAGAGACCTTTATCCAGCAGTAGATAAAACATGGTTGATGATGAATAGATAAATTATGTTTAAATCAGTAACTGCAAGTATCATCACAAATTGATATGCAATGCAAATAAATTATATATCTCTTTGTTTTACATGTTAATCCCATAAATGCCATGATACTAATTTCATCAAAAAATAAATAAAAAACCTTTGAACATTCCTTATTCCCAAACCCTGCTACATTAGCTAGCATGCGCCCAGAGGCAGACAGATTAAAGCCAAGCATATAAAATGCTGGTATATGTTACGTAACATATGGACGACAGAGAGAATTATGTAATCACTAGTGGACTTGCTTTCTGTAATATAAAATACAGCAGAGAGTGCTCAAATAATTTACACCACCAGTTTAGCAAGCCACGGGCCTATTACTGATATGGACTCGTGCCACACGTTGATGAAGTGATTACACTGCGATAATCTGCGCTGTGCCGTGATGTTGTCTCCGCAGTGGCGTAGCATATTTGGCACCAAATCTCAGTTCATTCGTTCGTTTCTCAGTTCGCTTGCCTTGATGAGGGTCGCGGTGGCAGCATGTTGAGTAGGGCGGTCCAGACCTCCCTTGCCCTGGCGACAGGCTCTAGCTCTTCCTGGGGAATTCCCAGGCGTTCCCAGGCCAGCCGAGCGACATAGTTCCACTGCCGGCGTGTTCTGGGCCGGCCCGCGGGTCTTCGCATAGTGGGACGTGCTGCCCGGTAGAGTTCCAGGGGGAGTCTACCGGGGGGGCATCCTTACCAGGTCCCCGAACCACCTCAACTGGCTCCTCTTGATCCGGAGGAGCAGCAGCTCGACTCTGAGGCTTACCGGATTACTGAGCTCCTCACCCAATCATGGAGAGTGAGTCTGGCAACCCTATGGAGAACCCTCATTTCGGCCCCTTGTCGGAGAACTCAGCTCACGCATCACTACCACAGAACAGTACAGCGCCCTCAACACTGCGGACGCCGCACCGATCTGCCGGCTGATCTCCCTCTCCCACTTGCCATCACTCGGGAAAGAGACCCCGAGGTACTAAAACTCCTCCATGAAAGGCCCTCACCTGGAGAGAACACTCCACCGTCTCCTGGGCGTGAACCAAGATCTCAGATTTGGGGGTGCTGATCCTCATCCCAGCCGCTTCACACTCGGCATCAAACCGCTCAAGTGCACGCTGGAGATCACAGACTGACGAGGCAGAGAGGACAACGTCGTCTGCTAAAAGCAGCGACGCCGCCTCCATGTCCCCGGACCGGATACTCTCCATACCTCGGCTGCGCCTTGATATCCTGTCCATGAAAGTCACAAACAGGAGTGGATACAAGACGCACCCTTGGCGGAGTCCAACACCCACAGTGAACGACTTTGATTCAACACCAAGAATACGGACACAGCTATCACTCTGCGAATAGAGGGACTGGATAGCGCACACAAGCGGCACCGGTACATCGTACTCCCGCAGCACCTCCCACAAGACATTGCGGGGAACACGGTCATATGCTTTCTCCAAGTCTACAAAGCAAAGGTAGACTGGTCAAGCGTACTCCCATGACCCCTCAAATATCTGTGAGAGGGAAAAGAGCTGGTCCGTTGTTTCACGACCCTGACGGAATCCGTATTCTTCCTCCTGCATCTGAGGCTCGACCACTGAGCGGAGCCTCCTCTCCAGCACTCTGACACAAGCTTTACCTGGGACGCTGAGGAGTGTGGTTCCTCTGTAGTTGGAGTACACCCTCTGGTCCCCTTTTGAAAAAAAATAAATGGGAACCACAACCTAAGTTTGCCAATCCAGAGGTACCCTACCCGCCTTCCATGCAACATTGAAGAGGCGTGTTAACCACGACCCTCCTACACTGTCCAGCGCTTCCAACAACTCTCAGTTCAACGAGTGAATATTGCTCCCCTCCTCCCCCTGGCCGACCGCCACATCCAACGCCCCCTTCCCCCCCTCTCTCTCTCTCGGCAGCCCGGCGATTGAGCCCATCCGGCTCGTTGACCCCCCCGGTGCAGTTCCGCCACTCCCACACCCAGCAGCAGGAGAGGCCACTTCACTCCGCTGGAGCTATATACACTTTTAAATCGAGATTGACAACTCGTGTTTTTTTTTTAGAACGGCTTTTTGTGTTTAGTTTGTTGTGCTGCCATTGCACCTCCGATTAGCACGGTTGGCTACGTGCGGTGCGAAAGAAGATCAACGTACTATACAAGCGCCAAACCTAAAACTATATATATAAATATTTCACCAGCAAAAGGCCCACTGAGCTGTATAACTCTTTTTTCAGAAGCGACAAATTAAATAGCTCAACACGGCGGATTATCACGTGGAAATGTATAGCAACCAAATACTCTGAACCTTGTGCCAATTTAGTTGTTTTAATTTATTTTATTTTATCTACGTGACTATACCGAAAAAAACAAAGAGTATGAATCCTTGCAGTCGCGAAAGCTTCAAATGTAGAATTGTGCCAACCTCCCTGTAACGGTCTCGTTAGATGCAAACGGATACCTCCCCGTGTACCCTCGCAGTCGCAAGAGAACCCAGTTCGTGCAGTGCCCCTCTCTCTCTCTCGGTCTCTCGGTCGTTTGCCGTGCGCCGACACACAACCGAGGCGTTTACATTTTCCCCGGAATAGCTTTCCCACGCAATTCCAGAGTTTCCGTGCCGCCAGTGATTTACTGCTGCACTAGTGTGCAGCATAGCGTGTGATGATCGCAGCAATTTTTTTTCCTCTGCCAAGAGCCCCCCCCCCCACCAGTTCCTTTTGAACAGACCTTCTATAGCCTAATGAAGTTATGCTGTGTTGAACATAACAAATATATTGGACCGGACACGCAACTCTTCACCGTTGCCTGAACAGAACACCAGAGGCGCTTCCAATGGTGGATTTTTATTCTCTCCCATAAGTTCTGCGTGCGGATTCAAAGAGACCATCCATCATTCAGACACTGCCTCTTGCACCATTTGCAGTATAATCGTTAACGTAAGGTGCACAGGTATTTACTTTAAAATATTTCTTTCCTCTGCAATATAAATACATGTTTTTTTCAATGCTTTTTAGTCTTTACTGCCAACATTCAAAACTAAATATGAGAACCCTGGGCATGTACAATGTATAATTATGTAGTATGCAGTGTGCGTGTGTGTATATATCCTTAATCATAATGGTTTATACAGGAACACCTCATGGAGCCTCCTGCTCTTGCACTATAATTGTTTGTTGAATTTCCTTTAAAACATTTTACGTACGGCAGGGAACACGATTTTCCCCAAAAAAAACTCCACATATGAGAGCATGACATGCAAATGTCTGTACAGATCGGTCAGCAACCTACTACTTGCTGTACATCCTCCTACTGAAGACTTAGTGGCCCTGAAATGTTGGGAGTGCCTCGCGTGGTGATATCCATTTAAAAATCCATGCACCGCGCCCGTCTTCCAAAGTGAGAGCGGAGTCAATTCTGAACGACACCAAAGCGTCGACAGCGATGATGCCACGTGTCCCAAACTGCGGAGCCCCGCGGGCGTGCACGTGTTCACCCGCAGCGAAGTTCGACCCCACGTTGCGCGCTCAGCCCAATCACCGCTCTGACCACGCGAATCTCTGCCATCTAAAGGCGTGAGGCATTGAACCCAACAGCAGCAGCACAGCGCCAGCGGTTATAGCGTGCGCGCCCACACAACCAAGAGCACTAGCTCATTTTCATTAAATCCACTTTCATTACTTCTAAGTAAATTGAAATGGAGTCTAAGCAAATATATTTACGAGTCTTTTGGGAGAAACAATTTATGTTCAATATACTTTTTTATGTAAGTTATTACTGTTTTTTTGGTATTTTGTACGGATTGGATTTCAGTCTCCTCTAAGGGTCTCCTTACAGCTGCACGACATCTTGAACATCCACTCTGCACACAAGCTACCGGGCGACCAGTTGCGCCTCGTGACCAGTACATTGCAAAATCGGGTACCGTGCCCCTTTCATTGTCTAGTCCACCAACCCCCACAGCTTCAAAGGAACTTAAACAAAAATCGAGTTGAAATCACTGCTCCCATTGTCGAGATTCACCTCGATAAATAGATCGAGATAAATAACCTGCAATCATAACCAAGTGAGAGCACAATGAGATCAAAAGCGAGACAGACCTTTCTTTAAATCCTGTGCATGTATCAATTGAGAAGAGAAAACCCAAAGTAGATGTTGATGCCTCCCACATTGAATCTGTGAGCCACCACTGGCTTCCAACATTACTCGTCCACTGTCTCACTGAGTGTTTTTTTTCTGTGTGTGTGTGGTGTTTGATGTGCGTTTTGTGTGACGACGACACATTGGTGTGCGTGTGCACGCGTGGATGCACGTGTGTTGGGGAGTGGCAGTGTGTTGGGTTAGCGCACTGCGCTACGAACCTGCCGACACGATTTCGATTCCCGCTCACGGCCACCAACAGCAGTGATGATTATTCTGGGCCGCCCATAAGTCGACTCAGCCTCAAACCAGTACTTGTTAGAATGTGTAAAAAAAATAACTCATCGCCATTAGGGAGACAAAGACGACCGGGCGTGGTGCTGGACACCCATCCACCCCCCTCGGGTGCTCGCCAGCAGCACTTGCCCTCCCCCCGAAAAAAAAGTCTGCATGCGTGTGTGCGGCTCTGTGGAATGCAGTGCACGGAATTGTTTGAAGCCTCTGGGTGCGCGCTTGGTGACGGCACGGTGCTGCCTGCAGGCTGCACGCGCGATGACGAGCTGACGCCTGAGGCAGCCCGCTCCACGTGCCCACAACGTGGTGCGGGTACAAACGTTTTGGTGGAGGATGATACGGCTATACTTGTGGCGGCTATTTGCATGTATATAAGTACGTTTAACTTCTTTCGCACCGTACGTAACCAACCGTGCCAATCGGAGGTTGCGGGGAAGGACAACAAACTAAACACAAAAATTAGTTCTAAAGATATTACTTTTTAATTTAGATTTTAAAGTGCATAGCTCCAGTGGCTTCCTAACATCGGTAGGAAGAGCGTTCCAGATGGCCATAGAAGCGCATCTCAAAGTGCGCGATGCGGTAACGATTTTTGTTCAATGGACAGCTAAAAGTCGCTGCGAAGATGACTGAACGTCGTGTGAAGTGTGTTTGTTTGGTTTTTCATTCACATGGAATTATTCAATGGGCAGGCCTTCTCTGTCTTGGCAACTGTGACCCACACCATTGTAGAATTCCACATTTTTGTATGGCAGGAACAAGTGACCTTACCGAATAGAACCAAAGAGTATGGATCCTTGCAGTCACGAAAGCTTCAAATCTAGAATTGATAACCTCTACGGGGAGGGCTTTCACCTATCTGTTAGAGCTTTCAACAGACCACGGGACAAGAAGTCACATCTCATCGAGACGCTGACCTTCCTCAAAAGATGCCAGCGACAACAAGGTAATACCATCGCTTTCACACTCACATCTGCTGCTGTATCCTCACCGAATTCTAAACAGATTCTGTTTAAGGCCAGTCTATCTTTAATCTCAGAGAGGATAAGACTACTCCGTTTTGAACTCGATACTTTAGACAGGACTCTCCTACAATCTCATTTAACGTTAACACAAAAAATGTCAACTTCTGATTGGAACCACGTAGACAACATGACTGCTTCTTCTGTTGATTCACTTTCAGTCAAATGCAAAGCTAACCTGATTTCTAAATTCAACCACCTATCGAAGAAGAACCCAGTCCCACATATAACAAAACTAGACGTTAACAAAATCGTCATTAATCAGAGTAACACCCCGGTTTCGGACAATCTGAAAACAGTACTGGCTAGAGGGCTACATTTTGCTGTCACCCCAAAACATATTCCTGTAGATGATATCATCTCTCAAGTCGATGTAGCCCTCAAAGGCATAGGACACATCCAAGCAGACGTTGCGAGAGCTGAAATAGCCACTATTCTTAAGAATGCTAAGAAACCCATTAGCAACATCAGCAAAAATGAACGCTCTGAACTCGCGAATTTAAAAAACAGAAGTGATATAGTCATCCTCTCAGCCGACAAAGGCAACGCTACTGTAATTATGGATAAAGATTCGTACAACAACAAAATCCAGAACCTACTCAACGATGGAAGTTACTAATAAATTAGAAATGACCCTACTAATAGCCTAACTATAAAAACCAACAAGATCATCACAAGTTCGACCTCCCTAATCGAACCAACTAAACGTCCCTCCCTAAAACCTTCTGCTGCAAGACCCCCTAGATTCTATGGTCTCCTCAAGATTCATAAAGAAGGCACTCCACTACGACCCATCGTATCCACGATCAACTCCCCTACCTATAAGCTAGCACGTTTTCTGTCAGATACCTTGCTACCTTTCACTGGCAAGACCTCCTCAGCAGTACTTAACTCAGCCCAATTGGTCTCTATGGTCAAAGACGTTGTACTGTCCCCTGACGATATCCTTGTCAGCTTCAATGTGGTCTCCCTGTTCACCAAGGTCCCGGTACCTGATACCATTGAAATAATTGAAAATTTGGTACAACACGGACTAGACCCCGATACACCTGCGCTGGTTAGACACTGCCTCGCCAATACATACTTTACTTGGAATGACACCTTCTACAAACAAAATGAGGGTACCCCCCTGGGTTCTCCCTTATCACCAGTGATAGCCAATGTTTTCATGGAGAAATTTGAATCAGACGCCATCCAGACTTCCACCCTCAGACCTTCCCTGTGGAAGAGATATGTGGATGACACTTTCGCCATTTGGCCACATGGCCTCCCAGCTTTGAACCTTTTCCTACACCACATCAATTCCAGACATCCCGCCATCAAATTCACCATGGAAGTGGAGAAAGATGGCAAGCTACCATTCTTGGATGTTCTGTTTGAGAGGAGACCTGATGGCTCATTGGGGC